TCATTCAAATTCCATGGAAGACACAACTCATTTTTGTAGTAACACTGCCCTTTTGCAACTTCCTAATTGGCTTACAGCCCTAGTACAATTCTTCATCGTCTTTAAATAATTCCAACAGCCAATTTCACTAGCCAGTCTCCCTCTATCTGTAACTCCTATTAAATCCTATTTCTCTAATCTCCCCAACCTTCCGAATTAATTGGTTTCTTCCACTTAATTCCTACTACTTTTCATTAAAATGTAATGCCTAATAAACTCCACCACTTTTTAATAAATTTCGTGTCTCTAAACCTACCCTAAGATTAATCGAATGCATCAACTTACCTCCTTGTCATATTCCACAAAAGGACATTTGAATCAAAAGTACCCCCAATAGGATATTTGAGAGGAATATGGAAAGAAAAATCCGAAAGATTTAGTGATTAAGCGAATACTAAGCTATCAATACAGCTGTTTTAAATTTTTATAATATGAATTGATAATGTTGAAACCCATTCAAATAATTATTGATTATTGAGGCTTGTTTTGGCATAAAGTTTACGCGGCAATTTACGATTTATTTCTATCTCATATTTCACTTACATTATTTTAAGTTGGTTTCAGATTCAGTTCCATTTTTTAGGAAGGTAACAAATAACGGGTGTTGAGGGTGAAACGATTTTTTTCAGATGGATAAATAATTAACACATGAGCCGAAATTTTGAGACACTTGATTCCCTTCTTTAGAAATTCTGAGTTCGGGTGAAATAATCTTTTAGTTCTTTCTAGTGAAAAATGCTGCGTTTGTATTAGTACTCAAGTATAAGCTATCATTCGTAGCAGGAAAAGTGTAGCACGATTATTTAGTTCTCTAAAAAGCTACAATTTTTTTTTAAAATATGGTCTCTTGCAATGTCGGTTTCAGTCAGCGAAGAGTCTTCAAAAAGCTCCTGAAATAGTTACACTTGATGTCGTTTTCATTAGTAAATGCTTGGTTGTATTTGTCGAAAGTACAAAGATCAATCATCTCATGGCTCTCCCCTAAAAAATTTGAGTTTATTTGATTATCATTTTCGAATTTCCCTTCACTAACATGCAACTAGGTAAAAATACTGAAATAAAAAAGCAAATATAAGATGGCAAGTTCGATGGTTTTTTTTTGGTCAGTCATCATGTATGACAGTGGGTCTTAGATATGAGACTCGACTGATGTTAAAAGTATTAAATAGGGCGCTGTGGAACTGTGGGAGGATTAATAGAGAACTATACCGAGCGCACCATTAGAGCACGTGACATGAAGGTAACCTGTGAGGAGCGTGTTCCACACACACACACACACACACACACACACACACACACACACACACACACACACACACACA